ACAGAGTTGAATTTCCCTTCTCCATCAGGCTTAATCTGAATAAATTACTAATTTATTTGACATTTAAATGCATCATAAGCAGATGCCCTTAGAGTTCTATCCAACCCTCCAGATCTCGGAAGTATCTCTGTGGGCTGTTGGGAGGGGGGGTTGGGGGAGGTTGGAGTCCTGAAACGTTCTATCGAAGACAAGCTGACTTAAGAGCAGAGCAGTAGCTCTTCAATGAAGTATATTAATTGCCTTATACACCATGATGTACTGAAACTCTAATGCAGGGACTTTTAATTCCTGGAATTCACCCAGTTCCTCCAGTTGTATTGACATGTGCTTCCTATTATGACCCAACTGCATAGGGCAGTGATGAGTGGAAAGAGCTGGGCTGGGAGTCAAGAGCAGACATGGTCCCGCTCGGTCATGATCTTCGCCCAGGTCCTTGGCTAGTCACTGCATCCAGTGTTGACAAAGGCTGAACAGTTTTCTTATCTGTGAGTTAGGAACGGCAGTGCTTGCCCGCCATCAAGCAAGGTTGCCTTTGGCATACCTGTGAGATGGCATAAATGTTGGGAGACTTTAGTTCTGACTTTAAAGATTTCTTTGGTAAGTTAGAAGTTGTAAATCCAGAAGGTATTTTCCCAGAAAAGCAATATTCTACCTGGTAGTGAGGTTCTCAGTCTAATGCTATAAAAATCTGTTTAATGACCATGTCCCTGAAGTATAACACATAGTAATGACTGTACAGATCATTACCACCATGTGATCATCTAGTTGTGGGTCCTGGGGTTGGAACTCTGAGTAGCAAGACAGGGTCCCCTGCTATGGGGCAAAGAGAAGGAGAAAATTGGTGCTGGACTAAAAGGAAGTGACAGAGGGGAGGATATGGAGGCTCTAATGGGGAAGGAGCACGTGGTAAACCTGTGGGGGGCCTTTACAAATGTAGGGATTTATTGGGTGACAGCATGTGGCTTTGGCTAATCCTATAAGTAAAGCGATTCAGTGCTTACTGTCACCTCCAGCTCACCGTCTGTTCCATTCCTTTAGCTCTCTATGCCACCATTCTATTTTTGAAGTTTTAGGGCACACATAAGTATAGCCAGCACTTCCCTGAGACCCATGGTGAAGAATTCCCTTTTTCCAACTAAATAACTAATAGACTAATATATGATACATAAATACACAGTGTAGTAGCAGAAGAGCCCTGTGAGAGAGAGGAAAGGTACAGTCATGTCTGTGGGCTGGTCAACTGAGCACATTAATCTTAGCAGACCCCCTGGAAGACTTCAAGGAGGCTCCTTGACTGTTTTTCTCTGGATAGAGGCCTTTCAAATCTGACTTTTCAAATCCCTGATTGAATTTCCAGCAATCTACTTTTCCTGACTGTAACCAGAAAAGCATGTTTAAATGAACATGAAATTCCATCGGTATAAAGCCTTGTGAAGCTCAGTCCACCAACCCATCGCCAAAGCCGCTAATAATGCCCTATTGTGTTACTGTGGTAGTCTAGGTTGTCATTATGAAGTCTTTTACTCCTGGTTGAGAAAACATGACGTTCCATTAAACGTATAATATGGGTTCCCTCCAGGCCAGAGATGTATCCTGCTTAAAGCTGAAATGAGCTGAGATTCAATGTCATGGAAAAGAAGAGAACCATCCACTGGGAAAAAGGGAGTTGAGGGGTGGGGAGAAGAATGGTGAATTCAATGCCCTGTGATCTACTGGTTTCAGCCTTTGGGGGTGGGGAAACTTTATTCTGCCAAGGGCCATCTGGATTATTTATATCATTCGGGGGCTATACAAAATTATCAACTTAAAAATTAGCCTGCTATATTTCATCAGGCTAATGTGGTGAGGCATGTGATGTGCTAGAGAGTGTCATGTTGGCCAAAGGATCTCAGAGGCCCGAGGAAAAACGAGTCAGCATTCTTTTTTTCCCCACTCTGCAGTGATTGGGTGCTGGACAGCACTGGGTGAGGGGGTTCTTTCTGTGACAGCAGACCATGCCTTTAGGGCCCCCTGGGGGGCCTGTTAGCTATCACTACCTTTTGGCCCATCCCCTAGCTCTGGGCTACACAATTACCGAAATGAGTCTGCACAGAGATGGCAAGCTAGAGCTGTGCACTTTGTCCTAGCAAGTTCTAGCAAGTTTCTCCTTCAGCACACAGGTATTCCTCTCTTCAGGCAATTGGACAGACAAGTAAAGGAAGTCAGAGGAGTCCACGTAAATGTAAAGGTCTCCCCACCATTTGTTTCCTAAAGCATTTTGGGGTCCATTGTGATAATGGTGCATTTAAAAAGTTACTACTGGATCAAATATGAAAGAAGTAGCATCCTCTACAATGGCAAGAGGCTCAGTGCTCAGCACGCTAGATAGAGATCCTCCTCACACTTGAAATCATTTTTTAAAAATTCAAAGTAACTTACTTTTATTGAATATAAAAGTAACATGTTCATTGTAGAAATTTTGAAAATTCAGAAAAGCATAAAAAGAGAATTCAAAAATCTAGAATCTTCTAGAGAGAAATACTATTACAGATGCATTTGTAAGGTAGAATCATAATGTATATGTTTGACAATTATATTTTCACCTAAGAGTATATATTTTCCTTAGTAAAATATGACAGTGCCTACCACTTAGAAGTTGGCCAATACTAAATATTGTTATTCTTTAAAAATCTTTGCATCTTAATACAAATTATATCTTAATTTATTTCTTTGATTACTACTAAAGTTGAATTTTTTAATTAACTTATTGACTTTGATACATATTTTTAGTGAATTATTTATATAGTAAGCCTATTTTTTATTGGGATGATCTTTTAAAAACTAATTTATATATATATTTAAAGAGTAATTTGCATTGCAAAAGTTTTTGCAACTTGTTAATATCTTTTATTTATGGCATTTTTTTTTCACTTATAGAAATGTAAGATTTTAATATATTTAAATACTTTTATAGTTTTCTCTCTTGTTTCTGCCCTGTTTTAAAAGCTCTAAAACTAAGATTACAATATTATTCATCTAGAATTTCTTCTAGTTCTCTCATCATTTCATTTTAAACATTTCAAATTTCAACCCTGGAACTCATTTTGGTGTGTGGTGTAAAGTATAAATATAACCTTTTCTTTTCCCAGGTTATCAACATTTGTCCAAGAATCATTTTTTTTTTTTTAAACAACAAATTAATTCCCACTGATTTGAACTTCCATTAAATGCTTACATATCCTTGTTTTTTTTTTTTCTAGATTTTCTACTCTGTCTACCTATTTTTTTTTTCTTTTACCATCCATTTTTATTAATTTGCTTTATAATAAATTTTAATATTTGGAGGTATAAGCATTTCTTCATTATTCCTTTTCAAAAGTGTTTTAGCTCTTTTTGCCTGTTTTTTCCCTCTCAAGATAAACCTAGAATCATTTTGTTAAAGTACTCTCAGAACTAAAATAAACTCTTTCAGAACTTTGATTAAAAAGTTGAATTCAATTTATAAATTGACTTTTGGAGAACTGATTATCTCCACAGTATCCAGTGGAGTCAATCTGTTTAGGGACATGGTGATTCTGTCCATTTTTTCAAGGTTTCCTGTATGTCCTTCTCAGCTGGCTTAAAAAAATTTTTTTTTTTTTAAAGCACAATGATGAACATCTCTGACTGTTTTCAGACACAGTCTCTGAATCTGTGAGCTGGTACTCCAAGCCACTAGCATTAACAAAAGAAATTCCATTTCTTAGCACTGGAGTATTTTCAGTATCCACCTTCTCATAAATCTGCAAGAAAGATCTCACTTTTCATCCAAAGAATCTGGAGTTCAAAACAGCCTTTACGGAAAAATCAAACTCTAGGGGCAACTGCAAAGCACATTTGGTTTCTTTCTAGCTGGCCAGCTTATTTTGCAGGATTCTTTTTTTTCTATTCCCAAATACTTTCCAGTCTGTGAAATTCATCTCCCCGCCACTGCAACAGCAAGCGTCTCTCCTGGCGCTGGGCAGCTCACACAGTTTTAAGGCGCACGGATCTTCTCTGAGGAGCTTTTTATTATTGAAGCTATTTTTTAATAGAGAGCATGGAGATTCATTGAATGGCTGCAACCTGGCAAATCTACGGGGATTTGGGATGAGTTTAATCGGGCAGAGTTCAGCTCTCCCTTGAGCATAATCCCGGTGCCTAAGCACTATCCATTTTCATAAGGAAACCAGGGCTCCTGCACCTCCCTGGTAGCCCACCAGTCAAATCGCCAAGAACATGAATTCGCCTGCATCAGGGGTTCTCAATCCCAGGGGCTGTTTTGTTTTTTTTGCACGGGGGGAACTTTGGGCAATGTCTGGAGACACTTTTGGTTGTCTCCACTTTGGGGCTGGGGCGGGGGCAGAAAGGGGGAGAGAGGGAGGATGGAGGAGGGGTGGTCCTGGCATCCCCACTTGGCAGTAGTGGGTAATAGACCAGGGATGCTGCTAAACACCCTACAAGGCACAGGATTGCCCCACAACAAAGAATTCCCCAGCCTAAATCTCCGTAGTGCAGAGATTGAGAAATCCACCTATATTTCCAACTGCCCAGTCAGCATGCATTTTATTATCAGGAACAAAGGTAATGCATTAACTAGGACAGCGTTTTTTAAAAGGAGCCGATAGACTTTGAACAGCCCACGCCTCTTTAGACGTGCCCGAAAGTTCTGCCTCTCCTAAGCAAGCTACAAATGAAAAGGATTCACAGAAACGGAGTAAGTCAACAGCATCCTCACACTCCCTTGCACGCTCCTCGGCCAGAGAAAGCAAGGCAGAAAAGGAGTTTGTCCCCCGAACAAGGAGGGACGCCTCCCGGGGACCCCAGCAGCAAAGGATGGGAGGCGCGCTCCCCTGACAAAGGCGCTGCGCTGGGGCCGCGGCCACCTCCCGCGGTCCCTCTTGGACTGGCGTGTCCGTCCCAAAGCCACCCTGCCAACGAGCCCAGCCGGAGGAGAAAGCATCACCAGCTCAGCCTAATGTAGAACAACTTACGGCACTTACTTGTCCAAAATGAAGTACAGGTCAAATCCACCGTAGCAGGCTGGACCCCCTTCCTCCCTGCGTGCCCCATGCCCGGCGCAGATGAGCACAAAAGTGGCCAAAGAGAGCCACTTGAAGCCAATGCCAAGGGCTCTCGGCTCCACGGTGGCCATGACCTGCAGCCCAGGGAGAGGGTAGGGTCCTCTCCTTCCCACGCTCCTCGAACTCGCCAGGACCCTCAGGGACGCGCCATCCGAGGGGCCCTCCTCTCGGGCCCTTTATTCCCCCTCGCTCTCCTGAAACTCCCCGGAAGCAATTGTCTGGAGGAGTTCAAGGTTTTCCTTCTGGTTTCCGCTTCGATTCTGTTTCTAGGTTTCAGGTTTCAAGAATCCCAATACTGTACTCCGCTGTTTTAAAGGGGCTGCTTCAGACTCCGGCCCGCCGGCCGCTCCGGTGGCTGCGCTGAGGTTTTGCAATCGAAGCAGTTCCGTCCAGACGGTTCTTTGTCCCAGATTTTAAATATTATGGGGTGGGTTTTCAAATTGTTCTTGGTCGGGGGAGTGCTTTGCCTTTACTCCCTCCTCTCTACCCCGTTTTAATTTGATAGGGGAAGAAAGTCCAAAGGGTGCCACCTTGTGGCCCAAGACGACGAAAGCGCTCTTGGGCGTTCGCGGGAGCAGGGCGATGCGCTTTCTTCTTTTTCTCACGCACCTTCTCCCTGCCCTCCATTATTTCTTCCCCATTTTTAATTGTCTCTCATTCTCTAGCCTTTTAATCCCTGTCTTTTCCTCGCCTATTCCACGTCTTCTGATAACTTCACTGTAACATTGGATGAAAACTTATTTTCTCCAACCACGGTGGCTCCCACCCGAGACTGGGATCTTTGCAAAAAAGCCATTGTGCAAATTAAGCAGAGAAGAACGGGGCCTTTGTGATCTGAATCATCCAAGTGACTTTACTGTACTCTTAGCACAGATCATAAAGGACACTGTTGGGGTCCAGTCACGTGGCTGAGAACAGAATGAACAGCCCCACAGAGAAGCTTTCCCCCTCCCAGTACGGAAAGACTGAGCATTCTACATGATCTCCATTTCCAGATTTTACAGATGCTGTGATAGTTCTTTTCAGCCTTTGAACTCTTACTTTTTTCACCCTATTTTTGATGCATGACAGAGGAAGTAAACAGATTATAAGAGTATGGACCTTTCAGAGAGTTTGGGACTGGCTTTTCTAAGGTGAGGAATCCTCTTTAAAGTGGCCCCTGAGCCCCAGTTCTAGGTGTTAACTCAGTTTTAGCTTCGTATGTCTTTCAGTCTGGGAGTCCTCAATGCATACTCATGCTCCATGTTCCCAGGACTATTTCTCCAGACACACATCTTCCCCTCCACTTGTGATCCTCTAAGACGATCCAAGGTGGTTCTCCCCCACCTTGTGTATCATGGAATCCCATTATCTTGGAATATTCCATTAAAATAATTTTATTGTTAAATAAGTTTTGGAGATTTGTAATGCCTTGCACTGGCCTTCCTCCAAAACAATCTTCAATGTTTCTTATTGCCTGATATTCATACACACACCCCACCCACACTGAATAAGACTGATCTGTAATTTATAATATATGGCAGAAATGAAAGTGTGTGACTTCTGAGGTTAGGTCATAATAGATATTGTGGTATCCTCCTTGCTCTCTTGGATCACTTGCTCTAGGGGGTCCACTGCCATGCTATGAGGTCACCCAAGCCGCCCCAGGGGGAAAGTCCATGTGGCAAGGAACTGAGATACCCTCCTGACACCCGGCATCAATTTGCTAGCCATGTGAGTGATTCATCCCGGAAGTGAATTCTCCAGCCCCAGTCAAGCTTTCAGATGACTGCAGCCCTGGCCAACAGCTTGACAGCAACCCCAGGAGAAACCCCAAGTCGGAACCACTCAGCTAAGCCAGTCCTGATCCACAGAAATTATGAGATAATGAATGTTTATTAGTGTTGTAAGCCTCTAATTTTGGGGATAATTTATTATGTAAAAATAGATAGTGAGCCCTGGCTGGTTTGGCTCAGAATTTAGAGTGTCAGCCTGTGGACCAAAGAGTTGTGGGTTCAATTCCCGGCCCAGGTTGGGGTCATGTGGGAGGCAAGACAGGGCTGTGCAGGAGGCAACAAATCGATGTGTCTCTCTCACATCGATGTTTTTTTTTTCTCTCTCCCTTCCTCCCTCTATCTCTCCCATTCTATCTAAAAATCAATGGAAAAATATCCTCGGGTGAGGATAAAAGAAAAAAAAAAGTGAGTAAATGGCTATTATTATGCTAAAGTTTTGAGAATTGTTTAAGGAAAAAATAGTCTAGGAGTAGTTCTCGGATCTACCTGACCATGAAACTGTTTTTTGTTTTGTTTTGTTTTGTTTTGTTTTTTATCCTCACCTGAGGACATTTTTTTTCCATTTTTTGTTCAGGTAGAGTGGGAGGGAGAGAGAGGAACAGAGAGAGAGAGAGAGAAACATCCACGTGAAAGGAACACATCGAGTGGCTGCCACCCGCACGACCGACCAGGGCAGGGGACAAACTGCAACCGAGGTACGCGCCCTTAGCGGGAACCGAACCCGGGTCTCTCAGGACCGCAGGCCGACGCTCTAACCGCTGAGCCAAACCGGCCAGGGCTGTTTTTTGTTTTTAAATAACACCTGTTGACATTCACACTTAGGGAATTATTGCTGTCAAACAAATAATTGTGTTTGTGTGTGTGTGTTTGGGGGGGTGTTTAAAATACTATAACCTGTCCAAGTCGTCTTTTCCACACCTTCCTCTCCAAAGAATTGAAAACCCATCCTGATCCCATTGCAGTTCTATGATGAGAAAGAAGATAGGAAGACCTACAGAAATTAAAAGGGTAAATGAAAGCAGGAAATTTAGGGAGAATTGATCAGAAAAGAGGAGGAATATGAGACAGGAAAAGGTAGTGAGAGAACATTTGTGGGTGACAGGATCGGAAGGAATAGGAAGGGTTTGAATGTGGAAAGGGATAAGAGGACAGGAGGAGTCAGGGAGGCACTCAGAAGCCTTCTCTCATCCTCATGTCCCAGAGACCTCTTAGGTCCTTTCGAGTTTGGATTACGGAGCTTTGCAGACAAAATCATCTAGAAAGTTAGTGTGGAAGAGAATCAGATGTGTCCTGACAGAGCCCTTCAAAGTTAGAACACCACTTTTTTTTTAAATTTTATTTTTCAATTACAATTGACATTCAATATTATTTTTTATTAGTTTCAGGTATACAGCATAGTGGTTAGACAATTACATAACTTACAAAGTGATGCTGATAATTCAAGTACCCACTGGCACCATACATAGTTATTACAATATTACTGACTATATTTTCTATGCTGAACTTTACATCCCTGTAAAGACACCGTTATTAAAGAGAGGTCAGAGCTCAGCTCCCAGAGGGTGAAAGAAATTCGATATGAAACAAAGTTATGGGGGAGGGGAGAGAGTAGAAGAGACTCTCTTGGGACAAAGATGATGCTTCAGAAAACAGATGGGTAATTAGAGGGATGTTCTAGCTGACTCCACCTTTTTCCAGTATTCTAGAAAGAGGTCTATTACTATAAGCTGACCATTCTGAAGATCTTCAATGGGCTCTACCTTTCTCCCCCTTTAGCCCAGAGAAATCCATTCTAGGCACTTCTTCTAATTAGAAGGGTTTGTGCCAGCCTCACTCACTGTGGGGTATCCTCCAAATATGCCCATGAAGTGAGCTTGACATTATAGAGATATGGTTGTTCTGAGGAAAGGCTGAAGTAGACCAGAGATATCCAGAGTTCATAACAGAAGAAAAGGAAGCTCCTGGTATGATCTTAATGTGGTGGCTCAGCAGGTCTGCAGGAAGAGATATTATCAGGTTCTTTGAATTGGAAACATTTTTCTTTGGTTGTTGGGTATAGCAGCCTTATAATTAACTTAGTGCATGTGGAGAAAAGGGAGAGGTGCATCAATCACTTAGGTTGGAGGAGGCTTGGGGAAGAGTCTTCAATGGAACCCTGCTTGCATTTCCAAGATTAATTTTACAGCTCAGAGATATCCCACTATCAAAAATCCCCTTCTGCCAATGTTACCATCTTCTCAAGGGATGCCTCAGTGCTCTGATTGGACTGAGGGTATCTGAGCTTCTAATCCCTTCCAAGGACCCCAGTATTCTGGAAGAGATTAATTGGCCTTCCCAAGGTCCCTAGAGATAAATATATGAGTTTTAGAAGAAACTTCTCTGCCTCTCAAACTCAAGTCAGTGGGAGAACCACATAAGTGGTAATGTTGGGGCTAGGGATAGGTCTTTCTGAGGTTGGAGAAGCACAAGGGCACATTAAATACACATGTGGAAGTGTTTGACTGGTAACCTGCAAGTCAAGGCAGAAAAGAGCTTCTTCGAGGAAGAAGCAGTCAGCAGTGTCACATGCATAGATGTGAAGAGGGTAAGACCTGAGAGCATTCTATTGATATGACATAAATGTCATGATGTTACCAAGGAGCATTGCAGTGGAGTACAAGGGGATGCAGTGGGTTGCCGGGAAGGGGAACTTCTCTTTTAAGAAGAGAGAGGGATAAGGAGGTAACTTGTGAATGTTTTAGACGCCACAAGGAAGGATCCCAAGATATGTAAAGATGCCAGGAATTTTAAATTCCTTGCCTTCCCAAAGATTGGAGAGTTTGTCTGACTAGAATGATCATCTTAAAACTTTAGTCCTGCACCATAATTACTCTTCTACCTGAATTTGCCAGACTTCATTTTATGAGATAGAAATGATTAAATATGACCTGCCTGTCTACCAACCACCAGTGACTCACTCTCCTTTACTTGTCCCTCACTCTCCGACATATGTGACTGAGCCCCTCTTGTCAAGCTGTCAAAAACAGTTTGCTGTCCTGAGAACATTACCATCTATTCTTCCCAGAATCTCACTGGACACTAAAGCACCATTTGTCTGGGTTCTTGGCAAAGGTTCGGGAAAATGCTCCAGATAACAGACTATCCAAGAAAACTTGGGAAAATTTTTACATAGAAATATTTGTCCACAATATGAACATATCTGACACTCTCCACCAAATTTGTGTCAATCAAATAAGTCCGGTTTTTGCTAAGTTCTTGGAGGTCCCACTGATCCTTGGGCCATAGTGGTACCCCTTCTAAGACAAACCATCTCATTTAGTAAAAATAGTCTCTTTTTATTGTTATTATAAAAATGCTTGTCCTTCATGCTTGTCCTCCCTAGAACCTCCATTTGCAATTAGTAAAGAGCATTTCCAGAAACAATTTATCATCTGGAACAATAGAGTTCCTAAAGAATTTGAATCAGGTCAACAGTGGCTTTTGGCTATAGGAAAAGCAGAGGTACCGGTAATAACTTTAAGCCCAGAGGCAGAACCATGCTCTGGAGCAGCGGTTCTCAACCTGTGGGTCGCGACCCCTTTGGGGGTCAAACGATCCTTTCACAGGGGTTGCCTAAGACATAACAGCAAAATTACAGTTATGAAGTAGC